GACGAAACTCCCATTCTTTCTCCCAAAGAGGTGCTAATACATTTCAACTGCCAGGGCCATGGCAGCTCAGCACGCTGCACACTGCTCTGCCAGAGCCTGCACTGGCAGACTGTAGGTTTTATTGTTTTTTCCTTCAAACTAGAATATAATCACAAGGAGACAGAAGTGCATAGCATTTCCCTAGAAACTCTGTTGTTGTTTTGCACTGTTGAGTAGGAATTTACCCATAGCTGACCTTCCAGCAGCTTTCAGTAAATTCAATTTCAGTAACTCTCACAAGAGGAAATTGCCCATCTTTATTTACTCCATGGAGCAGCTGGTAGATTTGAACTATGTGATTTGGGGTTGACAGCACTGTTCCTTACCACTACGCCACCAGAGGTTCCTATACAGAACATCCTGATGAAGCGTGGTTTGAATCCACCAGCTGCTCCATAGGAGAAGTGTGGACAATCTCCCATATGATTAACTGCCTCTGAAAACCTGCCAGAAGGTCAGCTATGGGTCTATTTTGACTCAACAACAATATAGAATCCCAAACTGACAATCTCCAAAGGAGGAGAGGATTACCGAAATGATTGAGCTCTGAGACACACAGAAGGATGTATCACCTCCTTTTCAGCTTGATTTTGAAGGAGATGGAGAAAAATACTTGGTGGGAATAGAATGGTAAGTAAGGAAAATATCAGATTAAAGAGGAAAAAAGTAAAATTTACTCATTAACTAGAGTAACATGAACAAGCTCAATATAAAGGCCCCTGCACTTAGGGAGCTCATGGTCTAGACACAGACCGATCTTGTAGGAGTGGAGAGCTAGAGAAGGGCTTAATTCCGAAGGTTCCAAGGTCTAGACAGACCAGCATGGCTTCCGTCTGACAAACAGTGGGAAATTACCATTGTTTCGTGAGTAGGAAGAGCCTTGAGAATGTCTGTTACTGATTTACATAGCCTAAGGGTGGATTCTGGTAGGGAAGGGAATCAGAAAGGCTGGAATGAAAACCCTGAGATGGGATCTAGAAAATCCCTGAATATGTTAGGATCAGTTTCTTAAACTTTAGGAAATCTGTCCTGTTATTGGGCCATAAACGCAGAAAGGGCCACAGCATTTCACCAGTGTTTTCTTGCCAGTGTTTGTGTTATTTTATTCTTTTAGTTCAGATGTGACTCATTAGAAACTGAAAACAATTTGAATCTAGTTAGTTGCACTTGATCTGCAGAACAAACACTTTGTTTTTGCTTGAGATGCACTGTATCTGCCAACACCCAAAACTGTTTATTAAATGGACTCGAATTTTAAGAACTTATATCATGAGGCAGAAAAGCTGAGATTCCTTTGTAAAGCATCTTTTAACTAAGAACAAAGTATTTTCTTCTTTTTAATAAGATACAAACTGTAACTTTTTTTCTAGAAATAATTTGAATATAGAAACATCATGGTGGTTGCCTTTTCGTGGTTTTTGTTGTTGCTGTGTCCTCTTCCTGGTGACATAGTCGGTTAGTGTTGGGCCCCTAACTGAAAGGTCAGTGGCTTCAAGCCATCAGCAGTTCCGTGGGAGAAAGATGAGGAAGTGTGATCCTGCAAAAGTTCACAGCTTTGGAAGCCTGTGGGGCAGTTCTCCATCCTGTAGAACCACTAGAGGTAAAATTGACTCAGTGTTGGTGTCCTATACCTGGAATGGCCTTTATCCTTCTAGCTCGTCTCACCTTAATTGGCACCTCTTCAGAGAGGCATTCCTAATCTTAATCTAACGAACTCCCCTACGCCCTCATGCAAGTCACTCTCATATGCTTCAGTTTGAATTTTTTTCTAGGACTTATTATGACCTGGACCCAGTTACTTATGTATGTATTTCTTCTCTCATCTGTCCATCTCCCCAACTACATTGTAAATCCAAAGAGTAGAGGCCTAGGCTTCCTTTTTCATTGTAGTAATTTGAATAGAACCTGAGTAGATTTGGAAAGAAAAAGAGATTGTAAGTGTGTCAAACACATAAAAGCCAAAGAATGAAATAATCCGACCTTTTGAACAGCTTACCTGTCATTATAGTGGAAACATCCCTGCAGTGTGCTGTTCTTTTGAATTTGTTCATCTAAAGGACATGTTTCGTGTGAGCTGTGTTTATCAATGTCAGCAACTTAGGACATTCTTTTCTAGATCCCAGGGTCTTGACATCAGAAAGGGCATTTCTGCCACATCAATTATATAAAGATATTTTTGTCTCTAAGTAATTAAAATTCTGACTCCACATAGCTCAAGGCCTAAGTCCTGTGGAAGGAGGGGGTTTGCTGTGGTTTGTTGATTTAGTGGTTCAAAATGCCAGGAACTCCATTTCTCTGTTTGGCGTCATTGAATCTCATCCCAATTGGGCCAGACAGATTGGAGGAAGAGGAGAGTGCCTCCTTTCACTTCCCATAAATGTGTCAGCAGACCTCTTCCATGCTCTTGTTGGCTATAATTGGTTACACAGGGTATTGGCTCAAGATGGCTCAGATAATCGGGCATGCACTGAGCTAAGAGGGTATCCCCTTCCCAGGAAGCACGTGCTTCGTTTGAGGGTATGACAGATACCTAAACAAAATTTAGGTTCTTTGGGGAAGGAAAAAAAGGAAGCACATCATGTCTCATCAACAGTTTTTCTATTTTGAAGAAATACATAATGCTGCTGAGACTTTTTCCTTTTAAGTTTTGTACTGTTGGGTCTGATGAATGAAGGTTGATTTTAAATCCTGGAAGTTGATGCAGACTGAGATATAGACATATGGTCTCAGTCCTTTGGACTAAGTCCAGCATCCTGCTTGAATGCTTGCCAAGGAGTTTACATTTCAGGCCAGGCCAGCAAATGCTGACCAAGAGTGGGGGAAAGGAGGAGGAAGACACTGGGGCTCCTCTTTGAGCTATATTAACCTCACATCCCATCCTTGGGAGAACCCAGCTCACTTCTGCATGCTTGTTACTTTATCTCCTTTTCTCCTCCCCAAAGCCCAAGAAAAAAGTGAAAGGAAATGATAAACTGGGGCTTAGGGGGTTGAGAGAAGAGGATACAATTGTCAAAACGCAGGGAATGATTTAACTATTTTTTCTTCACTTCCACCACCATAGTGTATCTGAGTTTTTAAATTTATTGCTGATCAAGTTAACTTCTACCTTTTGCATTACTCTGTACTTGGAGTTTTCTATGGCTCATGACAGGGTAAAAGTCAGAACATAATAGACAAGATACAGGGAGCTCTGGTGGCCTAGTGGCGAGAAGCTGCACTGCAATCCCAGAGGTGCACGGTTCAAATCTACCAGATGCTCTACTGGAGAAGGAGGGGCAACCTCCTCCAGTACCTGTCAGATCTGATTTGATGGTACCCACACATAAAATAAAAAATAAATTAAAAAATAGACAAGATAATATGAGTCAAGGACTGCAGCCTCCTGTATGGATTGAAGCTCAATATCAAGAAAACAAAGATTCTCACCACTGGGTCAATTGGCAGCATCAGTATGGATGGTGAAGAAATTGAGATAGTTAACAGGTTTTGTTTACTTGGCTCCACAATCAACACTCTTGGTAA